GACATCTATCTACACACTCAAGAATAGTGCACAAAGAAAAGTTCTGCACTGGTGGGACAATATATTAGGTAACACAGCTATGATGTTAGACGGAAAAAAGCAAGGAAATATTTAAATACCTCTTAGTCTTTACCCAGGACGCTACAGATGATCACAGTACCACAGAGGAATGTATTTGGAAGCAATCTGATATAACTTTGATTCTGTTTAAGCGAGCTTCAAACACCCAATCCATGATTACCTAGTAACTCAAATCGGGTTAACTTACAGTGCCATAAGATGGTCTCCTCCATCTACATCCAAAATAGCATTATTACACGTACCAACCAACTATTATTCAGTGTATTTTGCAACAGCCAACGGCCTCTCTAGATTAGAACACAATTTGCAAACATACAGTGTTCAGTCACTCGGCCTTGGCTGCCATCTACCAGGCTGGAAGCAGCACCTTCAGTTTCCAGCTTTTAAGTGTTTATGCTTCCAAGAGAGACAGAATCGCGTATTTAGGACACCTCAATTTACAGTATTTATTGCAACAGACTGCAACTGTGAACATTACAGTCAGTCTTAAATAAAAACAAAACAAGATAATTTCAAAGAAATACAACGCGGTCCTTTCCACACTTGCCAATGGACTAGGCAGAAGTTCTGTTCTGGTTTTGTGCCTTCTACAGAATTCAGCAACTCAAACGCTTGTCATTTTCTCTAGGACAGAAGCAGGGTCACAGACAGTATTACAAGGCATATACAAATGGCTGTCAGGACTTGCATTGCTTTTGTCACCGTTTCAGGAGGCATTCCATGAACAAAAGTATACCAATATTCCTTCTATTTTCACTACAAATCACATGCTTAAAAATAAAATAAATATTCCAGGGCTTTCATGGATTGAGGCCTTAGACATGAGTGTTGACGTGCCCACAGAACTGTCCTGCTGACTTCTATTATTCAGAAACTCCTAACCAAAACAGAAGGAACTTGATATTAAAGCATACGAACACACAACCGAAGTCAGAGCACAGAAAGAAATACTATTCACCTACTGTGAGCAATGACTTTCTAAAGTCACCTAAGGACTTCTGCTTAATTCTCATTCCAACCTGCGCACTGTAAACACAAGAATTAGACCCCACTGCTGACACCTGTTCAAAGTTTTATTACCCTTGAGGTCCTAGACTTCCAAACTGGTAGCCAAGCTGCAAAGCAAAAAGCTAAAGAACTTCTAAAGATTAATGAGCTGTGATTCTGCATTGCTGGACAGAAAAAAAAAAATCTGGCCCGCATAAGGAACTTCATCAGGTTGGTGCATTTGTTGGTCAAAAAGAGAGGTTTCTAGAAAGGTCATATTGCTTAACATGTCAAGGCATAAGTCTGAATCACACCCTCTATCCAAACCTCATGACTGATTTTAGCCAACAAGGAAGTACAGAGCAAGAAAAAAAAAAGGGCAATCTAAAAATAACGCATGAAGGCTAGGTCTCAAGAGGCTCTGCCCCTGAAAGGAGCACACTCTCGTCCTTTCCAGCCAGGCATTCCCACTGCCTGCACACCCTAGCACTGCCTCACCAGACACACAGCACCCATACACCACAGGCGCTACAAACATCCAAGCAGAGAAACTGCTCTGCTCAGCCATCACATAACTTTAAAGAGATTTAGGGATAGTTTTACTATTATACATAAAGAATAGTTCCAATGATTCTTTTAAGCCCTACACAAAACTGCTGCTGTTACAAGCTGGGCAAGTTTACCTGTCATTCTCTGCTTTGTTTAGATGGACTGAATTTTTCTGACTCTCTCTCCTTCAAAAAGGACCGCATCTCCTAAACTGCCAAGATCCCTTTCAAAGAGCATGACAACACAGGAGGGATGGGAAGGGGGGAAAAAAAAAAAAGCAGCAAGCTTTTCAGAGTCTCCACTGGGATTCAACAGACTTCTGCAATACGCTAGGAGAAAACAGCACCTTACAAATGGCTCATTACATCAGTCACCTTGCAGTGACTACATCAGTTTTGGTAGGCACGGAAAGCAACCCTGGTGTCACTGACTCTTAATGCAAGCGTAATATAGGGAACGACAAATCATCTCACTCCTACATGTCTGTCCTTGAGTAGTCCAAGTAAAATTACTCTCCTTCGTTTCCACACCCTGACCTGGTTTTTCCAACTCAAATGTGGGGAGTATTTTACAATCTGATCTGCTCCCTTGAAGTCAACACTTGACCCAAACAAACAATCTCTTGTGTGAATTACACAAGAGATAACACACCTGCCATCATTCAAGGGCATACAATCTACTTCAAAGAAGGCTGGCTTTACCAGAAGCAAGCCCATCTCATCCACACAACTATTGCCTCAGGAAAAAAACCTTAACATTGAAGGTAAAAACTCCCACATTTAACATCCCACAATTCATTTCTGTAAGCATATGACATCCTCGGGACCACCTGTTCTAGTTAACATCCCAGACCCCTGCATAGTAAAGAAAGTGGACTCTTTTTCTTCAAATTAAGACCTCCCTTTCAGTGAAGGAGGATGGCCCAAGCTTTTGTCTAATTTAGTTGCAGATTTGGACGCCAAAGTTTACTGATGTGCTACATGCTTATCCAGAATGAAAGCATTGCAGTTAGCTGATACCCAGCCAACAAAGTGAGAGGCCAGGGGGCTGTTCAGATCCCGACCTACACTTACTCAGCTAGAGAGAAGAATCATAGATTACATACTCTGTTCACAGGTAAAACACACAATTTCAGGTATCCAAGTCCACAACTAAATTGTAGCCTAAAAGCTACTGAGATCCCATTCTGGCGTCATATCTGCCATAGTAGTATAAGGAACTCTCACTTCAAGGTACAACTTACTCCTTTTGACTTCTACAATATGAGTCAAAGCTTCCCAGTGGCTACTTTACCTTGCCCCTATCGCTTTTGGCAGCAAAGGTAGGGTCTGGATGTAAAAGTCTTGAAATCATTTAGAAAGATAGATATTCAATCCCTGAGAGACTTCCTCCTTCTTTCCTCCCTTCTCATTTACAAAAAAACACCCCACAGAAACACGGTATTGTGACTCTTCCTCTCATCTTGACATTAAATGCAATTTTATATTTAAATATAAACATACTGCCAGAGTATACTAGGTATTTTAGACACACAGAGAACTGGCAGAATAATCAGACTGACTATCTGAAAGATTTAGAAGAAAACAAGGGAGATCACAAAGAAGTATGTATTATACTTAAAAGATTCAAGGTATGTAGGATAACTTAATCCCCTCCCCCACAGGAATAAACCTGTTACAGAGGATTACTTTAATATTGCCTTCTTTTCCTTGAATATACTGTACTTCACTGAAAATTGTGCTCTTCAAAACAGACCGCTTGCCATATCTCCAAGTACATAGGCAATATTGTTCACAGAACCAATGAAACGGGAACTAAGATTCAGGACCAATATAGTATCTTCAGAAGTCAGCTTCTGAGAAGAAACTCGGCTCCACTTCAGATTTAAAACTTGACTGAAGACTGAAACTATTTCACTGACAAAAGGCAGCAATCTAAGTTTTTGCAGGTGGTTTGCAAAAAGGACAAGCTACTTGACAGTTGACTGGAGAAGCACTTCCACATGCAGCATCAAGCAATACTTCGAGAAACAGTAACTGCAGAGAGATGCATACATAAACTCAGAATCAATACTGACATCACGGAATTGCTATTGGAGCAACTATGCCCTGAGTTAAACAGAGCTGAACGACATTCTCCCACATTTGCAAATAGCAGGGCTGCACTGCAATCAGACATGCAATGGCAGACCACACGCCCCTAAGAAACTTCCTGAGGAAGCAGCAGCAGCCAGAGGAGCCAATGCTACATGAATTTCAGAATAAGCTACTGCAGCTTTGCTACAAACACAAAGACTGCCTGGTGCATTTCTACCTGCAAGAGCCATTCCTCCCAATTCCCCTGCAAAGCGGACAGCATAGCTGCTCTGTTTTTGTCGTACATACTCACTAGGAAGATTTCCATTACACATCTGCAATCTGCAATGCAGAACTGCTTTCTCCATCACACTCTCCAAAGCAAGCCAACAAGACAGCATCAGTTACACTTTCAAATTCTATTTATTTTGGCATAAGGGACAGGCAAGCTGTTCAGGCTAGCAACTCTTGAAGAGTAACCAAGAACAAGAATGAATCTTATTTATTCTCATGCTTACACAAATTTTGTGCAACAGAGAGAGAATAGAGTTTCGCATATTCTCTGAGGAATTTTGTTCTGGCATTAGATCAGTTTATTTTTGCAACGTAAGGCTGAAATGCACAAAATACCTATCCAGAGAAAAAACAACCCAAGTGAGTTTTAGGTGGGTGACATCCAACTGTGTTCGTATGCAAACTCTGGGCACTTGCTGCGGAGAGAAAGTATTGTCAACACAATGGAGAACTCCTCTGCAGATGAGAAGATATGCAGATGCATGCCACTGAAATTCATTGATTTTAACAGCCCAGTGACTAAATTAAGAGCCCAGGAGCCTCAGAATCCTTCTGCAATCAGTGAAAAGAGATAGGAACCTTCAAAGGTTGATCAACAAGGCCCCTAGTGACCTCCTAGGGTGACCTGAATATAGTGATGTAAAGCAGGGTTCAATTAGTACTTTAAGTCCCATGTCACTTATCCTTTCTTTCTGAATGAAGATTGCTCCCTAGTTTAGATGTCATCAAGCAGAGATCACGAAGTGGTAGGCACACACACAAAAAAGAGACTTTTCAAAGTGCTGTGCTACTTCACACAACACGTTCCGATTTCATTTTCAGCGCTGCACTGCAACTTTATCAGTCATTTATTCATACAAGGTAGCTTAGCAACAATACCTTTAAAGAACAGGTAAGACAAAGTCAGGCATACATACACATACTACCTCTACTGCATCAGAGCTGAGATGAGATCTTGGCTCAGAACCCAACCTTAAAAGCCGTGATGTAGTCCAACTTAGGCCTCCAACTTACCACATTTTTAAAGTCATCCTCTGCTTCATCAAACTTTCCTTGCTTCAGCAGTAAGTGCCCTCTCTGTAACCTTGCCTGAAATAAAACATAAGGTAATTTCTTTTGATTTACAAATTGGAATGCAGCAAAGTATGAACATAAGCTTCAGTGTCCTTCAGGAGGAAGAAAAAATTTCATTGTACTACAGCTAACAAGCTGAAACGGAGATCACAAGATCCATTCCTTGTCTTCTCAATTTGATAATGTTCTTATGAGGCCTCTTTGATGGTAAAGGAGCACACTGCACCAGAACTGAGGAACAGAAGACAGCCACAGTTTTTATAAACAGTTGCAACTCATGTAAAGAACTCATTTGAAGAGTTGCACAAAACAAAGCAAATGTTTACCTTACACCACTTTTCTGACTATAACCACTTACAGATTTAAAGAAATTAGTAGAAATAAGAAAAAATAAACAACTCCCACACATAATTCTTCCGCTAAACTTTTGGAACAATAGAAGCTATGTAAAAAGACAAGTTAACGATTTAGAAGATTTTGATTTATGATAAGAATATTATCATACAACAAGGAACTTAACATTTGCTCCTTCATTGTAAGCCATACAGGACACACCACTCCCCATGGAAAAGGGAGATGAGAGAATCTGATGGAGAGGACTTCAGCGTCAGTCTCCATCTAGCAAAGCAGTCTCCACATACAGTAGGCAGACGTGAGGAAGGGATAAGTAAATCAGAAATTGCAACAACCCCAAAGGAAGGCAGTGAGATTAGGACAGTTGCTGTGGAGAAGAGATGCCTCAAATCAAATGCTGATTAAGCCATAAGAAAAACAGAGGTATCTCTGTGCTCTCTCCCCACCTCTGTCTCAGAGGGCACAGCCTCGGTGACTGAGAGTAACCACAACTGAGAGAGGGAAAGTGTTTAGCATAAACCTGTGAGGAACATGAACTTAACAGAACTACTCTTAGTTGTTATAGTAACTGGCTAGACTGTACTCAAAGCTGCAAATTCAAGCACATAGACCACTGCTATTATTTGATCCTATTTAAAGCCTTCTGAGCAGTAATGTATTTTCTACTTCTGCTGAGCAGTCTGAAAAACAGCCGCCTTCGAAGCAGGTTCTTTTTACACTTGAACAATTTTCAATTCTAGTAATACTTACTGATGTGAAGTCCTGCTTTAATTCAACCACTTTACTTAAATCACGAATTGCTGCTTTAGATTTGCCCATGGCTAAGTACACTGTGGCTCTTCTGTAATAAGCAATGTAGTTATCTGAGTCTCCTTCTGCAAGTGAACAAACTGTAATCAGAATACTATTTCAAAGCAACTGAAACTTTGGGTACAGCAAAACTATAATGACTAAAAATATATCAACTGACTTTTAAGCCACTGGAAAAAATGGTATTTATCAATAAAACATAATATTTGTAACATTGTCCAAGCAATATTTTTAATGCAGTTTGATTATTTAACAATAAAGTTTACAGAAACACAATAAATGCCAAATAATTAAGAGCACTGAAGGTAAAATATGTACATATTTTTCAGATTTGTACAGGAAAACAGCCACGACATACTAACCCTTATCTCCAACTGCAGGTCTACATTTGAAAGCATGTTAATTCATGATTCTCTATCCCAGTCCCTGTCCATCATCTGGATGCAAGGAAATAATCCCAAAATGACTAATATGTTAGTCCAATGTTGTCACAGACGCATAAACCCTTTACATCATCCACTCACACTTAAGCATCTTCTTTCTTTACTACTAAAGTGGGCACCACAACCCTTTCCGAACGGCAGACAAATGCACGTACATGATCAAAACCCAAAGACTAACTTCAAGGCCGACACATGCCATGTTGCTTGCTGGTCAAACTTCTAAGATCCAGCAATTTTAACACTCTCTAGGCTAGCACATGTATGTACAGCCTTACAGGAGGCAAACATCAGTCTCTGAAATCAAGTAGAATTTTCTTAGTATTCTTCTCTATGCAGTATTTCAAAGAAACAGGCGACAGTTACTGTGGGCTCTCAACGGTGACCCAGACCACACAACCACATGCAGTAGAAGGCGGGCTCTCAACGGTGACCCAGACCACACAAACAACCACATGCAGTAGAAGGTAGTAAACTTTCTACTGTGCTATTATTAAAAAAAAAAAAAAAGTTCATCAATCCAGAATGTGTAGACAAGAACACCCATACCTGAGGAACAAAACAAGTATTTCTCTTCCTCACCTCATTTGAGGTTGAAGTTGAACTTTAAAATAAACGGAACAAATAGCATTGCCAAAAATCTTATGGTCAGTAACCGAGCTCCACAGCTGGCCCCCTCCATTATCAAAACACTATTTCAGTTCTCACCGGAAAAGCTAATCTGCACTCTTCCTCTACAATGTCTTGGCTGTGGAAATTCTCATGTCCAGCACTGAAATTTAATAACAACTCCCATATCATCTTTTATGTCAGCATTATGGACATCAAATAAATTCAAGTATTACTACCTTTAAAAAAAAAAGAAGGAAGCGTTAAGGCCTGCTGCATACAACTGAATGCGTAGAGTAGGTACAAATCAATAGCTGAAATTAAGGAACTCTATTAACACACAAAGGATGAAAGATAGGAAAGTGCTAACCTAGAAAGCACATTCAGCACCAGATGATGACCTTTCTGACAGTCAGAATACGGTTTTACCTCAGTTCCCCAAGAACAGTAATAAACAGCAACTGACATTTACTCGGAGAGAAGGTATAAGCCATCAACTTGACGGGATCAAAGAAAGAGTTGAAAATTTAACTGAAGAGAGAGTAGCATTCTTATATTTTAGATGTTTAAAAAAAAAAAAAAAGAAAAATTGGCTAGCTGAGGCAAGACAAAAAGATCTATTTACCTCACAGTCTACAATAATGTAATACGGGCAAAAAAGGATTAGAGAAATCTCTTCTCCCTCCCTCTACAAACACAGTAGGCAAAACATGCTTAAAATCTTTTGAAAAAGGTCAAGTATAAAGAAGAAACAGAAGTCTGACGAAATTTTATGCAATCAGGCTCAAATCAACATCCAACTAAGAATCCTATCAAGGTCACAACAGAGATAGTCACACCGTAGTTCTGCCAGCTGCTCGAGCACTGCTGGCAAAGCAGAGGGTTTCACCACATGCAGGCACCTCACTGCTCATCCCACCTCACACCGCTGCTGCCTTTGCACCACCACGGACTGAAATGGACTTTTCACCAAATCCAAGTTAAAGCTTACCAACCAATAATAAAGGAATAAACCCCGTTGTAACACTAACTCTGCTCAGATTCTACAGGAATGTTTTGGCAGCAACACACAAGGCGAAAGGAGTAACAGACCACCTTCTTGGTGGGATGAGGAGCTTTCATAGCACAGAAAAAGAGGAAGTTTCCCCCTCCACTCCCTTTATATAAGAGAAGCTGATCTTGTAGAACTCACAGAAAATATTAATAGCTCAGAATCAGCAGATTTTCATTTACATATTGCTAATAGACCAAGGCATGGATAGAAAATATTCAATAGTATGACTCATTACCATGTAACACCTTGGTATTATTCTTCTCAGAGAAAATGATGCACTTGTACACATTATAACAAAGGTCAACACCTTAAAACATGTAAAAAACCCACGCTATTGAGAAATTGTAGTGTTAATGGACACAGCTCTTTACTGGTGCTATCCGTCTCTATGCTTCAAGGATTTTAAACAGCACAGATGCTTTAAAATCTATGGAAGCAAACATTTAACTCCTCAGTTTGTTGAAAATGCAGAACACCAAACCAAGAACTCACTTAATAGTTGAGCATAAGAAAGGGACAGTTAATATACTCTTCACTACCAGCTCAGTATCTGAAACTTGTAGTATCAGTTTCACTGAGGTATCACCCACTTCAAGATTTCATTTAAAAAAAAAAAAAAAAAAGAGACCATTTCAAAGTTTGAATTTTTTTTACAGTGCTGGAAAGAAGAAATCATAGACAAAGGTTGAGTTTAAAAGGCATACTTCAAAAAAATTCATAAAGATAAAACCTAATCTTGATGGGATTAGATATAGAAAAATATCCCATCAAATGATACCACAGTCAATTACAATTGCAGCCACACAGCTAGCTTGTCAAACAGCACTGACTTAGCCTTCACGTACCATGTAGTTAATTTAACAGTTTCTTTTATCAAAACCAAAGCATAAACATTCTACTGCATCTCTGTTGGCTCCTGTTCAAACTGTCACATAAAGGTGCCCCAACTTCTGTGACTCATGGAATGCAATTTGCAAGAAAGCATGATACTTAACGAAGCAAATAGCAGGGAAAAAACCCTCACCCAAAGGTACATGAGTGCAAGAGTTGCTTTCCTGAGATACGTACCTATAGCCGCATGAAAGTGAGACAAAGCATCTGCTAGCTGTCCAGCAGCCAGTAACTTCTTTCCCATTTCAAGTTGTTTTTCTACTTCTGCATTTATTCCACATTCAGCTTCTTCAAGAAAAACCAAAAAGATCAAGTTTTTGAATGACCAGTTTAATTATACCAAACACATACAGTCGCAATACAACACATTAACAAACAGTTACTGATCTAGAGGCAGAAGTTACATCTTCCCATGATAAAACAACCTGCAGCCTAATAAACACGTGGCATGACTTCCCTGCCCCAAAAAGGATGTCAAAATAAATAAACACTGTAAAGCACAGCCTTGTGAGAAGGTGCCAAATATGCATTTCTATTCCTGTCTATACATTCAGTAATGTACTTTTGCACATCAAGCTTTATACGTCAACTATAAAAACAATTTGACAAAAATACACTTCTATTTGGGTTTTCAATTTCAAAATAACGTGGAAAAAGACTCACAATGCACACATAGCAAATATAAAAAAGTCTTAAGTTTAATTTTATGACCCTACTAGTAACTTAGGACTCAACTGAGAACTGTTAGCTACTTCAGAGATTGGCTTCTCATCTACTGCACTTTCATCTCATCTTTATCATTTCCAAGGCAAACTGTTTCCAGAGCACAGGTTTTGATATAAAACATTAAAATTGTCACTCCCTTTTCATTTAACCAGCAGTATGAAAATCATACTAAAGTGGTATGTTTGCAAAGTGCCACTTTTATTTTAAAGCTAATAAATAGCTGCTGCTCAACCAACAGGGAAATCCTATTGTTGAGAAGAAACAAGCAGCTAAGTGCCAGTACATGCTGTACATACATCAATTCAGCCAGAGAGGTTTTTCATTTGTGCTGCTTCCAGCATTCTTCAAATCAGAACACAATTTCACTACAGCTTACCAGTTTACGACTATTAAAACTTTCACGCTCTTTTACTAAGAGTATACCCTTTGCATAAATTCAAGCAAGGTAATATATTAAAATCCTGAATAAATACATTACATTAGAAAACAATGAACTACAACTAATTAGTAGGAATCAATTTCTTTCACTCAGGTTTTGGATCAAGACAGGCACTTGAATTAATCTTAAATATGAAAATTAAGCAGCACTTTGAAGTCATTTCTTCAAGTCTGAACAAAAATGTTACACTACACAGATTGAAGGAAAGTATATCAAAACTTCTCACACCAAAACGTGATTAAACAACAAAGTATTTGTAATGAAAGAACAGTAACTTCTGATCACCAGTCATCAAGATTTTAGAACTAGGAGCTCTCAGCACCTGGGATCTTCATTTAATTTTCCTTTCTTACTCCTTAATACAGTTTATAATTCTTTAATTCTGCATAAGAAAATCATTGAGCTGTCTATATTAAAATGAACAAAGTGCCCTCTATATCCACTGGAAAAAACTCTATGTGCTAAAAGATTGACAATAATTCAGCAAGCTGGATTCAAGGGCTTCAATTCGATTATTTGCTTTAGAACAATGATAGCAAATTCCTTTTTTTCATTACTGGAAATTACTGTATAAAATAAGCCCCAGATTTCCAGTTAGTATTCTTTTTTTGTTTAAATAGATGAAGTTAAAATAAAAATTACTTATCATATAGTCAATTTGGGGATCTTATTAAATGATATGTTTTAAAAATTTATTCTAGGTACGTATAGCTCTGAATAAAATATAAATAGCTCCACTGATAGTGGAGAAGTATCTCGACAGTAATTTTTTCACACACACTTCAAGGTAGCTTTTATGTGAATGCCCAATTTTCAGAAAAATGGACATTCTTTGCCATTTTGCTCCTTCTCTAGCTTAAAGTTTTGATCACCAAGTAGTTCAATGTCCTCTAAAATGACAAAGCAAGCATTGGAGAAAAAAAAAAACACAACACAACACCAACACAAAAATCCAAAACAAAACTGGAAAACAAACCCATCACAAATTTCCCTGGTTTTGGAAGTATACTAGCAACAAATCAGGTATCAAACCATAAACAAACAGAAGTATTTAACATGGGCTAAAACAAAAAATCCTGAAGCTTCATCCCCTCGTCTCTCCCCACATACGAATATCTGAAATCTTTCAAAACTTGTCAGTTTGGAGTGGTATCCTAGAAGTCTGCTGTAAATTACTCTGATGAACCTTCCGTCCACCTAAACATAGCATTCAATTTTCACAGTCTCAAGCATCTGAAAAAGTGCCCTTGTTTCACCTTTAGTCACATCAGGATAGCTCCAAGAACAGATTTTCCACAGTAAGATGTACCTATACAATTCAGTGTCTTTCCTAGGTTCCATACAGTTTTACAGTTACTTAACACTTTAGGCAGGAGAGCCATTTTTTTCCTTGAAAATCCTGAAGATAATAAAGGAAATGAGAAAGGTGATAATTAATAGTAAACAGGTAAGTAATAAAAGCAGGGGCAACATGGATAGAGAAATAAGGCAAACTGTGAAGGACTGTAGGTTCCCTGCAGAACAAAACTAACTATACTACACATACTTTAAAACTTGGCTCTGCAAGTTGCTGAACATCATAAACTGGTGTGGGAATCTCCAGAAGCAGCCTAAATAGTCACTGTAACCATGATGAAAAGTGACATTTACCATAACTACAGAGGAATTCAGTGTACACTGACCTGATAGTTGGGCTGTTTATTCATATAGATCTACTGCTTATTCATTTTCTGGCAGTAGGCAAGCAATTGCTTTAAATAGACCACCCCGCAGGAGAAATCTGAAAACTGTTAAGATGGGCACAAGAGTCTCAAGATTCAAATTCTGTGTTTGGGTACCTATTTGCTCTTTGGTCTGGGAATGAACAGAAGGACTCAAGTTTAGCCAGAGGAAAAAACAAACCAACCCTACAGAGCTTTTTCCAACAGATAAGAGAGTCATCAGCGAGCTGAATATCAAGGGCCCAGCACTACAGCTGCAGAAGCTTTGTATGCATCAGCAAGAAACTAAATTTATGCAAGCGACCTGCAAGCATACTATTTATTTTTAAAACTTCCAAGTATTTTAATTTGGATATTATTTCCAAAGCCTGCCTAATTGTTATCTATTCACCAAGGACCTCAGGTGACCACACACAAGAGCCCCAGTTGTCAAATCAAGTCAGATATTCTGGATAAATTCAGAGTCTGTAGTGCTGGCACTGATGCAAGAGTGGAAGAGTCAAAAAAAACCACAAACCACCACCAACCCCAAAACCCAAACCAAAAAACCCCACCCAAACGACTCCTATATTAGAATCGGTGCCAGCCCTGACAACTCCAAGTAAGTTAGTCAGAAGGCACAGGAAAGACAAGCAGGTGCAGCTGTTTTTCCAGTTAAACACACTCACTTCAAATAAATTGTAGCTTCCTCGTGGGAGTTTTGTTTTATTAGAATAACTGGGGCTAATATGTGCGTACCTAAGTATACAAACTTGAACTATATCCTCGTATCAGCAGTTATATCCGCAGTGTAAAAAGCTTAAGAAAGCCCCCCAACTTGAAAACAGTTTCAAGATTTTACATTTGTCTGCACACTCCTCTTTTTCCCCTGTAGAATTTCCACTTTTTTTTTTTTAAAAAAAAAAGTCTTGTCCCCAAGCTGAGTAACAGGACTACGAAAATATACAGGACTATGAAAATATACAGAATTAGTTCTGACTGTGTACAAGAAACAGCCGTTTCAAAGACAAAGAAACATGCATGTCACCAATCTTAATTACAATTACCTAAATTTTTTTTTATTACATAAAAAAAGCTTAATTATTGTCTTGTCAAGCGAGTTGGAGATTGTGCTTTTGGGGTATTTTTTGATCAGAATGACCCTGTGTTTAGCATAATAAGTCTTAAGTTTGCTGCTATTTTTAAACAGGTTTGGGCTTTGCTTTTACGTGTGTTTGCAAGTGTGTTCATCAAGGACAAAACTGAACAAAGTAAGAAGTGGACAAGCAACTAGAGTTTCAGGAGCAACACAAAAAAGCTCACAAGGAGTCTCAGAGCATCCAGCTGAGCCATGTGTAATTTCCACCCATCAAGTTTTTACTCCTTCTGTTTGCAAAGAAAGTTGGTAAATATAGCTAAGACTGGCAAACCAAAAAGCCACCCCTGCCCCTTCAAATATCCTTTGCTATTTAGGCTGAGAAAAAAAGCTCCCAAACTCGGAACAGAAACATATGGTGTGAAGAGCAGGAGTTAGAGAAAACACTTAAGGCTAGTGGTCTGACAGTAACGAACTGCGCTCTGTATACTCAAAGCCTGTTTCTTCTTCCTCTTATTACATTTCCTTTCTTTTACTACTAGGAAGGAGAGCGGGAAGAGGAACAATACTCCTCTGTTCTCCTCAGTTGCCTCTTTTTGTTGCAATTAGCATGGACAAACAACCAGGAAGGATGAATCTTCCCAAGAGGTGATCTGTGTCAAATGGGAGCTTATTCAGCACAACTCAGGGTATTTGAAGAGGAGGAATTCAGCAAACAGAACAGTAAGGGGTGAACTGCAACCTGCCACATCACCAAGTATTTCTTTTTACTGAACTCATTTACCAGTCAGATATAAATTAATATTCATAGGTATTGACTGTAAGATACAAAATTAATACAGGCCAACTGTTCCACTAATTCATGAATCTCACGGCACAAGGCAGATTTCTATTATCAAGACAGCAAGATGCAAATTTAAATGTGACTATGAACACCTTTAAGTTCTAAGACCAGTAATATCAGCGGGAAAAAAAGAAAATCCAGATACTCAAATAATGTAACCCTCCTAAATTCTCGTAACGACATACTCTGGAAAATGAACTCATTTACTGAGAGGTTAGTAAGCTCAGTAAACCAGATCCAGAACCATCACTTTTCATTCTGTTACTGTGCATCTACCTTAACCGAAGTTAAGAAAACATACCTCAAATTAGGAAATGTGCCTTTGCTAAGTCCACATAGCCATTAAACCATATACTTGAAAAGGGCTGGCAACTCGAAACAAGAAGTCCTCAGCAGGACCACCACTACCACAACCTTGGGGGGGGGGAATTATACTTTGACCACAATTAACATTTTTCCTCTAATGCTACCAGAATACACATC